GTTTGGCAGTGCCCTTGGGTGACTGTTCATAGGTGAGTAGTTGGTGTCCACCTCTCCCTGACAAACAGCTGAAATTTGCTGAAGAACTTCGCTTTTTTACCTCAGCCCCTCAGCTTGTCTGGCTGGTACAGAAATTTTGGGAACTGGAACGCTAAGGATGTGGGTCTAATTTTGGCTTATTAATAAAAACCCTGGCAATTAAATATTAAACCGTATGTAAATAAACACTTCAGTCAAATTAATGTTTGTAATGTTTTTAAAGTCCTTTTTATTAGTATTTGTGCTGGCATTTGCACAGACCCCAGTTCAGCAAATAGCTGAAGTAAGTGCTGGTAGCTAAGCCTGTATGAAGTGCTTTAAGGAAGCAAAGACATCAATAGCCTCTTCGTCTTCTTTTCTGCCATGTTTTGCATGAAACTCTGCTCTGGTTCCTCCAAGCAAATGGAAAGATCACTGAGCCCACCCTTGGCCACTGTGTCTGTAAGAGACGAGAAATCAAATGCGGTTTGAAGTCTGTAAGGCTTTCCTGCCAAAGGGTCAGGAGGCCTCCTGACTTGTACTTGCAGAATTCTCACTTCTTCCCATAATTTGCCAAAGATTAAATATTCCTCCCTTCCCCACCATGATCCATCTGTGGAACTGAGACTCCCCCTCCTGACAGACACACAGACACCAGGCCCATAAGCATATTCACTTCTCTGGCAGACATGCCCATCACATGCTACTTCAGTGTGTCTGACACCTTTTGTGTGGTGCTGTGCATTGCACTGGAAAAAACAAGTTAATATTCATAGAAAAGTTATCTACTTAATCTTGGAGAATAAATTATAGAAGGCAGATGTTCTCTTACACGTTAAACTCCATCCATCTGTTGTATAGTTTCTTTAAGATGGTGGAAAATCCATGAGCTGAGGTTGAAGTTGCAGAGCTGGCATTTCCTCCTGGATTTACTGCCTCTCTTCCTCCCCCCTCAGAGAAGCAGGCAGGAGCTTTGTCTCTCTTCATCAACTACTTTACTGCTTCTCTCTTGGATTTCCATCCTCTCAGAAGAGGTCTTTGACCAATTCTGAAGTTTTAAAGAGTTTTATGTTCTATGCAGCAATTTCCCCCATAGTCTGCCTCTGCTTTTCAGCTGCAAACTGGAGACAGTGAAGCTAACCTATATAAACTGCTTTGAGATTGATCCTGACGTGTGCTACATGAGACCTAGCCATCATCATTTTGATTTTCAATGTTGTATATGACTTACCTGCAGAAGAAAGAACATGACTTGTTTTCTGAAATAGTATATGATCATACTTCAGTAAAATAATGGTTTTTGAGAACTGAACTATCTCAATGTGTTTTATTAGTTATGAAAATTATCCCAGCTCACTGATCTTTATTATTTATGTCTTCTCCTACAAATCTTCCCTTAGCAATTGGAACTGTGTCAGAGATTATATAAACTGCACTTCCAGCTGCTGTTGCTTTTTCAGTCCTACTGTAAACTCATCGGACAAGTGCATGAAGTCAGTTCCATGCCAGAGGTATGTAACAAAATACAAAGTCTTACACCGAAAATATCGCTTTACTTCATATTCTTATTTTTCTTTCTATGGATTTACACCAAAGATTACTCTGTTTCACCCTAAATATAAGTCTGCAGATAGAATCCTTGAATACACCAGCATCCACATTAAAACATAGTCGAGTTGCTGTATTTTTTGTGATAGATTGTACTTTCAGAGACTGGATCTTTTATACATTCAGTCTTCAAAAGTCGTTTCAGTCAGTGGTAATGAACTAGAATGATGTATGAAGTCTTAACTTCACTCACGCTCCTTACATATAGCAAGGGCTCACACTGTGTGAACATCCGTAAAAGTGATTTATTTTTATTTTAATTGAGGCCTTGATTTTTAGGGAAAATGAGCCTTCTTCACATACCCAGAAAATATCCTTTTCCTAGATCATGACTGATTTTATCTGAGCTTTGTGGAGACACTTAGACCAGAAGCACTTGTTAGCATGAAAATAACAAAATAATTTGCTAAATTAATCTTAGTATGGATTCAAAATTAAGGGTTTTGCTGGAATAATGTATTGTAATGTCCTGCCATATAAACTGTCTCCATTGCATGTGCATTATACTAGAAACATCAGCAGCAGTTTTTGACAAAAAAGTTGGGTTTTCATCCTCTCATACCTGAGCAAGCAAAGGTGTGTAGTGTAGGACTGCTTCATATTCTGACTGCAGGTGTACTGCCTGATCTTGTTCTGTGGATAAACAAATAAAAATCAGTTTAATGTTTCCAAAAAGTATTAAATCTTTAAAAAATATAATTAACTAAATACCCTCATGTCATAAGTCTTTTTAATTCTGTGATTTTTGCAAGCTTTCTTCTTTAAATATTTTTGACACAGTACGCCATCGCTTTTTACCCAAATAGCCTTTTGTTTTTAGATGAATCTATGTATCTTACTTTAAAAAACACTTCACAAGAACAATACTGTTAGTCGAATTTATTTTCAGGAGTTGCATAAAATATGTAAAACTTTGAAATATCTTTGAGGCGATGACTTTGAGTTGAATGATCATCATTTAAGGAGAGATTTAACTTGCCATTCCATATATATTTTTCTTTTGGTAAGGTGTATATATTTTAAACTACTGAGGGGAAGAAGCTGTACTTTGCTTGTGGCTGTAAAACAAAATGTGAAGCTTAAAAAATATATTTTATGACAAATTCTAGTAGTTCAGAGATTGTCTATAAAGGGAAATGGTTTGTTTTATCAGATGCGCTGTAGTACTACAGAGTTTGAATTCTTATTGTATCTTACGGGACTGTTCTGAACACTGGCTCATAATGTGACTGGACTGATCACTTTTGAGAGAAGACAGGACAGTAGGCACCTAGTCTTAGAGCAGTCTAAATTTTAGAAATCTTTTGCGTTCCTTGTAAGATAATTGATTTCTGTAACTGTATGTCACAGCTATGGTTTTGTTAGATTGTTAGAAATAATGCGGCTTATGAAATGGGAAACACTAATATGAGGAATGGCTGTTTTACCATGAAATTTGCATATTTTGATGGAGCCATAAGCTATTATTTTAAAAAAGCTCCATTGTTAGTTTATGTGACAGTGGTTATTTTTAGGATGTATGAGCATGAAAAGGCAAATCTTTAGAAATTATCTATTCACTTATAAATTATTTGGGAGTCTTGTGCCGTATTAACTTTTCAGGCTGACAAAGGGTTATATATTCCTGTCCATCTGTTAATCATATCAGATCCTGCATGTGTTGTGTAAATAAATAACAAAATCATTACTAGGAGAAATACACATTTCCATAAACTGTTCCACTATGACATGAAAAAAGTAGCAGGGGTGAAAAATAAAAGATTGTTTAGATGTGCTTCTGCATTTTAGCAAGCCAAAACTACAGTATGAGGTTAAAGGAATCACAAAGCTTAAACCCTGTAGTTTGTGTTTTCCCTATATTGTACAGAGCACAGAGATCAAGAAATGTCCTTGAGTTAAAGTGGGGCCTTTTCCGTAGTACGCACATCCAATGTAGTAGTAAGAACAGACTTGAAACACCTACTCCCTTTGTGCCTATGGAGAACGAAAATACCCATCTCTCATCTTTCTCCTTGGAACAGCTGTTAAATATGTCGAGAGAACTGAGTGAGTTGAAGAAAAATCTTAAGGATGCTACTGCTGCCCTCGCAGCTGAGCCTCTGACGACAGAATCTGAGCCCACATTCAACTCTACGGAAGCGGCTATTCAGTCCATGCTGGAGTGTTTGAAAAACAATGAACTTGTTAAAGCCGTCCGACAAATAAGAGAATGCAGGCAAGTTTTGCTACATGGCTCGTATTAGACTTTCATGTTATTACAAAAGTATGCATTTATTATCTTCCTAACTTTACACTAAATGTAATGTGCTGAGTCAGCATAAATAATGTGTTTCAACAGGTTACATGGGGGCATTGATATTACTGACTTTTGCAGGGGTGTGCCACAAGCAACGGTATCAAATCAGTAATATACGAACGTATGCCTGCAGCAATTAAGGTGTTTAATTACATTGCGTAGATTGAAAGTACTCTGTGAGGCTCCTTTTATAGAGCTCATTCCTTACAGGTGTATGTCACTGGCATCAGCTAACATTCAGCCCAGCTTCACTTTCACTTATTTGAATGAGTTTTCTTAAGCTCTTTTTTTTTTAGGTAATTGCGCTTTTATGTGATCTCAGTGCCTGATACCAGAGTCTGAGTAACAAATGAGTAGCGTAAACCGGCGAGTTGCTTTTGGCTGATAAGCACGTGCGAGTCAGTTCTCCGTGTAGAGATCTCTATCACCTGGTTTCCGTCTGTGCTAATACACCCATAATGATACGCACATTCTTTTCCGGTTTGCTTGCAGGATTTTGTGGCCCAATGATATCTTTGGAAGTAGCTCTGACGATGAAGTCCAGACACTACTGAACATTTACTTCCGGCACCAAACCTTGGGTCAGACGGGCACCTATGCACTGGTGGGCTCCAACCAGAGCCTGACTGAAATCTGTACCAAATTAATGGAACTGAATATAGAGATCCGCGACATGATTCGCAGAGCTCAGAGTTACCGGGTCATCAATACTTTTCTTCCAGACTCCAGCATTTCCGGCACAAGTCTCTGACAGGACTTTTGTGTCCTCTTTCAAGCTGGGAGTGCTGCCCTGTTGGAGTGAGGTGGCTCAATGTCTTCTCAGCCTTACAAAGGTTTGGTCAAACTGTACTCACTCTTGTTACATTTAGGATTTCTTCTAAAAAGATATGGGCTGAACTTCAAATGTGTAGCAATACTGTAAGGACAAAGGTAGCATAGAGCATCTGGGACAACATCCTTTGTTCTCTGTTGCACAAAACCCAGTTAGCATTTCACTGAGCAACTGCAACTCACTACTGAAGAAGTGACTTCCATTGCATACCAAAGCCTACTACACTGAACAGTACTTCCTTTATAGCAAATTAATTTTAGGTTGGCAAAAGTGCAATGTTTCCTTCACGAAATAATATTTTTTGTTAAAAAAAAAAACAACTTGTACATTTTTTTCCTTTTTTCTCTTATTTGGTTGAGTGAAAGATGGGCAGAATGAAGCTGGCCACAGAATCTCGCAAACTTGTTGGTCAAAAGCTGAGAGCCTGTGTATATGAAACAAATTGTAAATGGACTACAGTTTAATGTACACTGTAATTTGAATATGATTACTGTATCTTAAAACAACGAGCTGCTATGAAGTACATTTCCTAATGTTACTAGGCTACTGTCTCTGAAGGTACTGGATCATATTGCAGAGGTCTGTTCTTAGGCCCCCCCCAAGCATCATGAATGGTCTTGGTAGATTTTCTTTTTTATTATTATTTTAAAGGATCTTGGCTGCTTTTTACTAGCAGGTTGCTTTTATGAATATATTTATACTATTAAAGGACAGTTGATCTAATTTAACTTGCCATTTTGTAGGAGAAAGTCCCATCACAGAGTCAAATCTTTTGAACTGTTATGCATGCATATTTTTATTTAATATAAATTTTGAGTATAAAAAAGTAAAAATATTAACGTGAAATGCAAGTTTTCATGTTAAGTTTCTTTAAAGAGATGTCTTATTTTATTTGTAATGTATATATATAAAAGTCATACCTGTATGGGTTTTTTCTTACATTTAACTGCTGTCCAGTGTTAAATGTATGCATGTAAATCTGTTGCACATCTGAGACACTTTTATTCTGACAACTATGTAACTTATTCACTCTGTAAATACACTTACCGTTTTTGTGAAGTAACTTTGGTTGATATTTGGATCAGTGCATCCATTTAACTAAAATATAAAAGTCATATATAGTCACAACAGAGTATGTGCTTGTTGTGAAGCTTGTGTTCTTGTCTGAATCTATATTGTTACGGATGGTACCCAGGATCAGCAGCCCCCCAAAAACACCTTTTTCATCATTTATGGTGAAACCATTCATTACATTGGAAGAAATCAGTGAGAAATCCAAGGATTTCTTTGTCAGCCCGTAGTTAGAACTCAACCAGGAAGAGTACATTGACTAAAGCAGTTTCATAACTGAAAAAAAAATCAAAAATGGAGGTGGTTTGTTTCTGTTAAAAATATCAGTCGTGGTCCTATTTGTTCCAGCGTTGGGTTTCGGTGTTTTTTTTTTCTCATACTAAAGGTAAAAGAAAAGCTGCCCAGCCTGCTGTATCAGTCTCAACTCTGCGAATCCAGTAAAGCCCTCCCCTCTTCACCTCTTTTTTGTTTTCAAAATGCTTGCACAATTTTATGTGGATCTTGAAAAATACTTGTATTGATGCATAAAAGGGTTGGAATCAACTTCTTTTACAGGTTTTCTGATTTTGCAGTCCACATTGCTCAGCAGCACAGTTGTAGTTGCAGGACAAAATAGATGCAAGGCAAATCACGCAGCTATTTTTCTGAGTAAAATAATCTGCAACGGTTAGAGCAGTCTTCAAATTTTGGTTATGTATTTCACTTCTGAAAGCTGTTCAGAACTGTAATTGGGGTGGTTCTGGAAAAATTTTAGTGGTTGGTAAAAGCTGAGATCTGCTCTATCACTTGGCAAAATCATGGATATTTTACAGATCCCAGAATCATGGGAAAATCCAGTTTGGAAGGGACCTGAGGAGGTCATCTAGTCCGATCTCCACTTTGAAGCAGGGTCAGCCATGAGATCAGATCAGGTTATCCAGTTGAGTCTTGCAAACATTCAAGGATGGAGAGTGCACAGCCTCCCTGGACAGCCTGTTCTACTTGACTGTTCTCATGGTGGAAAAGCTTTTCCTATATCCAGTCTGAACCTATCTTCTATTTTGTGTCTCTCAGCCCACTACTACGAGCCACATTGAAGGGCCTGGCTCCATCTTTCCTGAATAACCATAATCTGGCAGGCCACTGTTAGGTCCCCCTGAAGTCTTTGCTTCTTCAGACTGAATCAGCCCAGTTCTTTCAACGTCTCCTCATAGATCAAGTGCTCCAGCCCTGTGACCAGCTCGGTGCCCTCCACTGAATTCCTTACAGTTGATCAACATCTTTCTCCGTAGGGAGCCCAAGACTGGGTACAGTAATCTAGACATGGTCTAGTGAATGCTGAGTAAAGGGGGACAATCGCTTCTCCTGCTCTGCTGGCTCTTCTGTCCAACAGCCAAGGATGTTGTTGCCGCCCCTTGCTGCCAGGGCCCACTGCTGGCTCCCCACCCAGCTCCCCACCAACCAGACCCCACGGGCACTTTCCGATGAGCTGCCCTCCAGCCAAGCAGTCCCCTGTCTGTGTCACGGCAAAGGGTTTTCCCCACCCGGGAGTAGGAATTTCCTCTTGTCCCTCATCCCGAGGCTCCTGTTGGCCCATCCTTCCTGTCAGCTGAGACCTCTCCAATGGCAGCACCATCCTCAGCTGTATCACCAGTCTGTGTCACCTGCAAGCGTGACAAGTGCACTCTGTTGCCTCTTCCAGGTCACCGGTAAAGATGTTGTATGGGACAGGTCCCAGGGCAGACCACCTGCTGCATGCCACTTGTCAGTGTCCCGCAGGTAGAGTACAATCCATTAACCACTACCTTGAGCAACTTGATTTAGTTGGTCCTCCACTGAGTATGAAGACCTCCAGAAGTTCCTTCCACCCTAAAGTATTCTGTGATTCTTCAGACACAACAAAACCCATGATGGAACCGCCTGGCTTGCTTAGCATCACTTCAAAACTTCAGGTGGAGTAGAAATCAGTGCACTCCCAACAGAGCCTCACTGAAGCCCTAGGACAACATGAATCGCAGTAAAACCCCACTCTGCTTCTACACCAGTACTGTAATTAGGATTCCCTGACTGCATTTAGACTCTATGAAAGAACATCCAGTTACTCCCTTCAGTTATATTTATGCCACCCACCCTGGAGATACTTTACATGACTGGACAGATTCCAGGGCACAAGCCTGTACTTCAGTCAGGGGCACAGGGACTTGTTTCGCCTCTTTCAGGAGACATTAAATCTAGAGACTTTTTTACACTGTCACAGATACCTCAGCCCAAGAGGGTTTTCCCCTTCTCACTTGGAAAGCTTATACTTTTCCTTCATATCTTACAGACATAATCTTTAATTATTGAACTGCTGTGAGGTTTTTTTTTCTACATTTGACAGAGGCAGTGGGAACAGACACATTTACCCCAGACTTTATGCTCCAGAACACTTGCATCTTCCACACTGTTCACTCTGAGTGCCTGAAAGAGAAACTTGCTATGACAGTTCTAATCTTAGCATTCCCTAAAGGAAGACTTTAAAACAAAACCTATTTGATTTCCTGAAGAAAATAGGTTGTTTCCTTCCAGATACACTGTCCTCTTTCATTCCAGCAAGATGAAACTAAGGGTAACAAACTAGTGCAATTTTTACTGAACTTTATTCACAGCATATATACAATGAAGTCATAGACTATAAATAATACAAAAGTCTTTATCCATTATCCAATGCCAGGTCAAAAGCCTAAAGTCAAAACATTGCAAGAGACAGACAAAGTGCAAAGCAGGAAGCAGAAGAGGGCACACAGATCAGACAATGTATTTGAAGCTGTAGGTGTTATCGCAGGACAGCCTCTTGCCTTTGCAGCGGCCACAGAGTTCTTGGCGATGAGGTCTCTTGAGATCGATGTGTCTTTTCTTCTGAGGGCAGGAACAGCGAGTCTTTGAACACGTCTTAAGAAACAAGTATTTTATTAGTAGTAGATCAAAAGTGCTCACTCCATATTTGATATTTAGTTTTCCTTAATCACAGCAATGCATTTGGGCTGATACACTTAAAAAAGCTTTTGTGGTAAAACCCTGTGGAATTGAGTTGTAAGAGCCTTCTGCCCAGAAGCACAAACCCCTACCCTACATGTAGCTGGGCTAACACTGTGCTAACAGGAAACAGTTCATGTGAGCCACCTGCAGGAGGGAGTCCTGTCCCATCACACCTTTCCCAAACAACATTTCCTAGTACTTTGATGACAGCAAGTTCTCTTCCAGATAAAGTCAATATTGAGTTCATCAACTGTAAACTACTAGAGTATGACAAACTCCAGCAGTCTCACCAGGACAGAGAGATCTGTGACTTACCTGGCACTGGATTGCTTCCACTCGATAGGGATTGAAGCCCTTCTCACATTTGCGACAGAGCTGTTTGAAGTACACCTGAAAAAAAAACAAGTTCCCAGTTACTATAGAGACTTGCTGAGGATGTTCGGTACAGGTATCTGAATTTGTGCCAGAGCATCTCGTTTGTCACAGATTTGGTGCCATTCTTACAAGTCTCAGGCACAAGAAATAAGTTGTTAACTACCTTGTTGCTGCCAGAAATGCACCACACATAAGCACTCTCCCATCTGGTCTTGCAGTCTTTGCAGTGGAAATAGCCATACTTCTGCTCCAAAAACTGCAGAGAGAAAGTTCACTGAGCAGCCTCCAGCACTACCAGTACCCCCAGCCCAGCTCCCCCATCACTGCTTCCGCAGGCAGGAGGCTCCGCCGCTGCAAGGCGGTCAGAGGCTGCCTGGGGGGCGCCAGGCCGGGGGG